TTTTACGAGGTAAGCATTTGGGATGTCTGATCCGATTTGACATTGCACGCCGCATTGCGGCGACATGGAATCCTGCACATGCGCTTGTTGAGGTAACACTTTGATAGAATAATTTGAAGAAAATCCTTCGAGTGGCCCCATAGTAAAGGATAAATTGAATGGACATGAACTTTTCCGAAATTTTGATTTTCAAGAGTGACCTTGACCCCGACAAAGCAGCGATTATGGGAACATGCCATTGTTGGCGAGATCCGTATTTTGATTATTTTAACAATATTGGTAGATGGTCACCTGTGAAATTGATATCAAATTTTAGCAAACAGTTTCTTTACAAGTAAGAGTTTTTAACGTTTCCCTTGGTACAAATAGGGAACAAAAACCAAGGAACTATGTTCAAATGAAAATAATTTGAACAATAGTGTTAGACAGTCGTCAGGTGGATAATTTCTGTGATAAATATCAACATTTGACGAAGATTTCCGAAATTTCGCAATTCACATAAAATTATATGTTTCGGAAAAAGGCCACCCCACTCCACTTCCAGTGATTAAATCAAAACAATTTTAACAATATTGGTAGGCGATCAACAGTTGGTAGATATATCTATTGAAATATATTCAAGATCTAATTAAAACATTTTTAGAAAAATATCTCCCCTGTTTTCCATTTACATATACAAGGAAAACATCTTCAACGAATAGCGGCTATTGTTGTTATTGTATGTGTTATAAAATCAATATTGATATTAAGCTAGTGGTTTACAAGAAAAAGATGTTTAAATGAGTTAAGGATGGATGTACCGAGATTTAAATATTTTGGGCTTATGGTCGTTTTCTTTTATCTTTATTTGAACTTAAATTGACGACTAAAGAGGTTTCCCTCTTTTTTGAAACTTATATTAAAGATGGAATAAAGCTCATAAACCATTGGATATTGACCCGGACAAACGAATGGCGGATGTTGTCACAGTGATGATAATGTCTCACCTTGTAACAGGTGGCGTATGTGTATATAGATCAATAGCGTTAAGTTACAAACATGCAATATTTTACCTAACATAGCACCTACTTTTTAAAAACAAAATACATTAGTTACCGTGCCAGTGTATGCATAAGTTGTGTTGTCAAGGAAAAATAGTTCTTGGGCAGTCTTCATTCGGAAGTGTTTGCTGTTCAAACTTGTTGTTGAAAACGCTGTATCACTTAAAGGGGATATAGTACAGTTACCTCTTTTTAGTGTCAACAGTATATACGATTTCCTTTAGCAATAAACAGACTCCATTAATTAGAAATTCTGAAACAAATCACGTTTTAAGAGGTAAAAAAACCTGGTGTTTTTTAAAGTAGTCACGCCTCCATTTAAGAATAAACAGAAAAAATACTGTCTTACTAATACTTAAAACATCATTTAGTTAATGACATTTTAAAATGTTCATATTTTTACATATTTTCTTCAAGAAAAGATCGCCTTTTCGCCTACGGGATACACCTTCTTTTATTCTTTCATCTATCAGTTGATGGTACAAGACAATACCGCTACCTGTGATTCCAAACATAGAGGAACACGGATAACTGCGTTGGTTATGATATTTTTTATATATTTTGGCACTAAAATAATAATTGATTAATCATATCATATATCACAGGAGATTGACATTTTATCAATAATTGAAAAATATATGCAAATATTTAAAAAAAAAACCGGAAAATATACCCCTCTATACTATAAATATTTATAGTATAGAGGGTATATTTGCCGTTATTTTTTAATTATTTGCTTTTAGTGTCCAACTTTATTTGTCATCCAATGAAATTGCTGTATTTCTTAAAAAATCTGTGCGTTAATTTTCATAGAAGAAAAAAAGTCGATACTATATCGAATTCCGTTCATAATCGACTTCTATTTTTCATAGTACTTCATAGAACCACATAGTGACGTAATAAAGTGAATAATAGTGAGGCCAAATAAAGCTTGACACTAAATATGTTAGTATTCATCCGTAGCTGTTCTACAGAAATTAGAAACATTCTTCTGTCGCTATCGCTCCCGTCAAAGTTTCTTATTTCTGTAGAACAGCACGGATGAACACTAACATATACATAGAACGTCAATTTCCTGTGCATATATGTACGTATATGATGACAGTGTATCGTTTGAAATATGACCCCTGCGTACCAGATTCCGGGATTTTTCCGCACAACTTTTTTGATACGTGACCATGTTGAATAAATTATCACCCCTACTTATATTGGCTACTGCGTTAGTAACGCAGTACTTAGATTATGCAAAGAAGGATCGCGATATTTAGTCAACATGTATCAATGATAATGAATTTTGGTAATAAACCTAACTAAACCGGTTTTTACCGTTTACTTTGGATTTTGTTTCATTTCTCTTTTTTTTCATTCTGCCATCTGGAGGCGAGTTGCTTTAAACACTGAATGAAGTTTGAAACTATTTTTACAAATTAATGTTAATAGATATAAAACAAAACGTCAAGTTATAAGGTCTACTAAAACGTAAGAACTTTTAAAGTGAAATAGCCAACTTCAGGACAGCGAACTAGTTACTTCGGGGAAATATATATAATTATATAATTATATAACATGAACTAATCACTAAGGTTACTACAAATCTGTAAAACTTAACAGAAAAACAATATACCTGTGTTAAAATCTTGTATTACAAACATGAGATTTGGACTAAAAAACGATGTATATAAATAACGAATAATTTTAGCTTTCCTATCGTAGTACACCTGAAAAGAGAACAATATTTTGATATTTAGCAAATACATTGCTGAGTACTGAAACTCACTACACTCGATAGCACTGGGTCCTGGCGCGAGTAACGACATTTGTTTCTCAACGAAAGCGCGAGATGGTTTCTCTACGAAAAATCCAAATACATACAAGTACAAAATGTTGTTGTAATTCCAAATACATACAAGTACGCAAATGTTGTTGTAATCCCAATACATACAAGTAAAATATATACCTACCTCATTTGCATACGCCCTTCTAATATTTAATATGACGTCATCCGGTCCATAAACCGCATACAGACCGGGACGGTCCATAAATTCTTATATGGACCGGATGACGTCATATTAAATACAAAACGGGGTAATGCAAATGAGGTATAATCTTTTATTTTGTTTGATAAATGAAGTCTTTTTACTAAATTTATTGTTTTGTTTCACATAAATTTTTATTACATGTTATCAAAAGTCAATGATTTGTCTTTAAATTAATTATAAATTTTATTAATACAGTTTGTGAAAATCTGAAAGTTCGGGTTTTTTGCCAGTTTAATTTGATTTTTTACAAAAATTTGAATAATCAAAAGAAGGGGCATGATTTTTTTTGCTGTATAGCTTGAAAATCTTGAAAATAATAATAACAAATTCGACTAGGGATTGAGATATTGTCACACACTGAACAAATAACTTATTATTTTGAAAGCAAATTATAGTAAAAATGACAGCAGCAAAAGGGACGAAAGAGTTTAGATTCGGTATAGAATAACAAATAAAACATGGCTTTTCGGGCAAAATGCAAGTTTAACGGAGTGGTTGGTCAGACTCGGGAAGTTATATGTCCCTCAGCTGCGCTTCGGGCCATATAACTTCCTCAGTCTGACCAACCAGTCCGTAAACTTGCACATTGCCCATAAAGGCCATGTTTTATTTTTTTTAATTGTTGCTGTAATACACCATTTGAGGAGCAATTACAGATACCCTACCAAATCATTCCTACACATAGATCATGTTCTATTTAGATTAAAGTACTATTGTACATTATTCCGGATGTTTTGTAAATCATTTAAATTTGCATAATTCTACTTATCGTATGCACTGTCCATGAGAGAGGGACTAGATATTAAATTTAAAAAAAGTACGCTTTTACTGATGCCTACCTGCTAAGGGAAAGTAATTCCAACAAGACTTGTAATGTGACTTGAGAGCAGTGCAACATTGTTTTGTTTGTGTCACTACTGTAGTCAGTAATATTAGATGATAAAAATATCAAAGCATGTACATTTTCTTTTTCACCTGTAATGCTACTCATTTTCCACAAATATAAACCTAATCATGGTTAATAAGCCAAAACAAAAATTTTCATCGACTTTATTTTTCAAAATGTCTGTTACATATGTTTCGCGGCAAATGGTATATGTAATAGATATACCATTGCTGCGTTGACGATTTCTGGGTTTGCGTAAATTATACCATAATCACGTGACCTTTCTTATGCCTGAACCTCACGAGACGAAGTCGAGTGAGGTTGCATAAGAAAGGTCACGTGATTATACATGTAGTATAATTTACAAACCCAGAAATCGTCAACGCACCAATGGTGTATCTGTTTTAACCTATAGCTCCGCCCAGAAACACTTACTCCTTCGATCTTCAAAACTGAAAATTATACCATAGTCTGGGTATGGTATAATTTAAGGTTATTGGAAATTATACTTGGAAGAATTTTACATCACGTGACCTTTATTAATGGTATATCATGATTTAACCTATAGCTCTTCAGCGCTTCTTATGTAAAATTGGGCGGAGCTATAGGTTAAAACAGATACACCATTGGTGCGTTGACGATTTCTGGGTTTGTAAATTATACTATAATCACGTGACCTTTCTTATGCAACCTCACTCGACTTCGTCTCGTGAGGTTCAGGCATAAGAAAGGTCACGTGATTATGGTATAAATTACGCAAACCCAGAAATCGTCAACGCAGCAATGGTATATCTATTACATATACCATTAATAAAGGTCACGTGATTATGGTATAATTTACGCAAACCCAGAAATCGTCAACGCAGCAATGGTATATCTATTACATAACAAGAAAGACATTGCAAAGCATCAAAGGGCGTCCAAGCAAGAAATGCAGCAAGTGACGATAAACTAAGAGGCGTCTGATTATATATTTTCTTTTTCTGTGTTAATTGGTTTTAAAGATCCTGTATGTTTTGATCAAAGTGCTAAACCACATTAAGTGAAATAAAATATAAGTACATAATTATGCAAAATAAAATAATTATTTACATGAAATGTTAAATTCGGTAATATCTTTATAAATAATGCTTTTTGGAACCTACAATATTGATAAATCTTAATTTTAGTATCATATTTATGATTAAAACAACCATAAAAAAATGTGTTACAGGATTTTTAACCAGAATTGTATATCATAGATAAATGGGTGGACGAACATGAACTGTGGTAGATTTGCTAGAGATCAGAATATTAAATGTATTTTCTTTGGAACATACAAAACACTAGTTAAATAAACAAAGTTTATTATATACTTATAAATGAAATATTGAGAAATCTTGAATGAAATAATTTGTGTATTTTAACTTTTCGTATTTTAACTGTAATAATTTAATTTTCCACTGCAGTGAAATATATTTTCCGTATTTTAACTGGTATCTTTTCGGACTACTTTTTACTCAATTCAGCCAGTATACAAAATTAAAGGGGAAGTATTTCGAATCGTAAGGTCAAAAAAACGAAAAGGTATATAATAAACAGAAAATTCAAGTTTTTTCTATAAATACGCGATTTATTTTCATCTTGTGGCATGAAAATTACTATATTTCACTTGTAGCTACCGCCACTCATGAAATATTTATTTTCATACCACTCGATGAAAATAAATCATGTATTTATAGAAAAAACTTGAATATCCTCTATCTGTTTTACATTTTTATTATACTTGTAACAATTATACAAACAGGTTATAAAAAAAAGTAACAAAAGGGACTTATATAGTAATATTACATGCATGTTTTAATGTCAAATTTAAAAAATGGTTTCTATTTATAAATGGGACTAAATATACAGTAGTTATATTTCAAGTCCCAGATAAATACAGAAAGAAGAACAAACACCGGAAAGAATAATTTGGGATGAATTTCAAAAAGACCAAATTCAGAGGGGGGGGGGGGGGGGGGGGGGGGGGGGGGTCTATTAATTTATCGAAAAATACCTACGGAAAAGATAACAATTCGTAAAAATGGCCTTCTTGAATTTTTCGATATTTTTAAAGATTTATTGTTGAATTGTTGCATTTCATTTCCTGCAAAATTCTCCGGCTCGTTATTTAATACCATGGCGCGACACAAATGACCGTATCGTTTAGTTCCAGACGCGTTAAAACTAAAACTTCTTCTATAGTGAAATTTGTTTCCGTTCTCATTCATTAATATGACATGCTGCGAGTCACCGAAGTGGAAACCAATATATGACTTTGCATATTTGAAATCGGAAGGAATTCTTTTTCCGAAAATCGGATCCATGGACAAAAATCAAAGCACAGAAGGCGCTGAATTTGTTTGGGTCTCAGAATGTAAGAAAGGTGCAGGTTGTGAGATTATATGTTTAGTGCCACCAATGCTTTTTCCCAGCAGTTTGTTTTTTAATTGTAGTAAAATTGGCTATAAGACTCATTGCAACACTGATATTCAATCCAATGTTTATTTGACTTTAAACAATTTAAAAAAAATGAGTTACCTTTTCTGGGATTTGAACTCCAGAACGCTCTCGCTTCCTAAGCGAGCCCGAAACCTTCAGCCACGGTTAAATTTATATGTGGAACGGCCTGAAGAAAACCATATTATTCTAAATTAGGGCTTGTAACGACTTTTAACTGTTGTTTAACACAGACGTAAATAATCCTGAAGCTTACTATAAGCATGTATATATTTATAAGAATCAAAGGGCTTGCAAGTTCTGTGGTATTTTCTGATCTTTGCAATCTAAATCGTACTGTAGCATTCTGTATGCATTTTCCTATATAAGTTTATTTTTAATGTATTATAATTCATTTTGTGAAGGCACAATACGGAATTCTGCATAACTAGAGTTGCATCAAAAAATCATTTATGTACTTTTTTTTACGACAGCCACACTTAATCCTTGGTAAATCATGGCTACTTCCTTAAAAACACTTAAAAAAAGAATTTAACAAAAATAAAAAAGTTTCTCGAATGGGTTTCGAACTCGAGAAGCCTTTCACTCACAAAGCGAGCGCGTTACCAACTGTAACCACGGAGAAGTTAATTACACAAAATGTCTGAATAATATCAAGTCATTCTAAAATTTAATCATTCCATTGCATTCAGGTTTGTAATCCTTATTAATTTCGAGGTATTTTGTTTTTCAGGGTAAACCTGTTGGTTTAAAATTGAAGTAAATAATTTTAGCGAAAATCCTCTCACCCAAACAGTCCGACATGTAGAAATCTATATATTCCACTACTCGGTTTGTGTAGTATTCGGGTAATCTACATGGCTAAAAATAGTATTTTCATTGATAAAATCATATTCATCCGCGTAATTTTGTGATTGGTGCATTTAAATATTGACAAATTTCTATAAGCCAACGCTATTGTTTAAAACCTTTAAATGCGTTGGTAATTTGTTGGATACTTGTAACAATAATAAAAATATTTCTTTCTTTTAAATCGCTAGTTTTAAGCTGTTTTGAGAACTACTTGTTGTGAAGGTTGTGTCGTAAACTTCTGTGTCAGAGATTGAATGTCCGCTTTGTATTTAGTTTATTTTCGATCAGAAAAAACCAATAAAACAATATTAGAAATCTTCGATCATTTCGGGAATTAACTTTGGCTTTGAAAATTTGATGGCGCCTGTCTTTGACCATCTTTACGCAGTGATCTCCCCTGAATTTTTTTCGGGACTTTAGTGTACATACGAAAGGGAAGTAACCGGCTTCAAAAAAGTGG